GTCTTATGTCAGTAGGTTATTTTCATTTCTAGTATACAAATCCAATTTCAGTAATTTCGTAACGCAAACCAGTTAATGTGCACACAAAAAGGCTTTCAATTGCGCTTTTGAATCTGTTGAAAAAAAGGCTGTACGATTGGTTTCAATTCTGTGTGTTGAACATGGAGGCGTCAACAGGTTCAGGTGGAGCTACGTCAACGACTGCCGTTGAAGCAACTGATTTTTGTGTTGTTTGCGGTGATAAAGCTATTGGAAAACATTATGGAGCTGTGGCATGCAACGGATGCAAAGGGTTTTTTCGAAGGAGGTAAATTTGCATCTAAACAGTTTAAACTAGATTAACTACACCGACACTAATCTTTGCTGTCAGAGCGATGGGGGCTGTACTTATACGACTGAGTGAGGTTGTACTTGAATCGGTGGGCTGGTGGTCCTTTCAGAAGGTGAAACAAACGCCAAGATTAAAGCTAATCACGCATTGCCTTAAGGAGGCACTGATCCATCGCGATGATTCTTCTTGCCGCTTGTTGTCCTGGCATTTGTATTTTCTACTGTCATAATCACATAGTGATCTTTACAATTAGTGATGCATGTGCCTGGTGTTAGTAGTCAAAAAACCTTTGCAATACAACGTATGTGTGACGAAAGCACTCAAATGTAGCACATATGGCAGCAACACTCACTTCCGCAGAAGTCCCACGACAAACTGGTAGTTGTTGAAAAGATGTGCCGCATAAGGGGAAGTAGCCAAACAATCCAGCGTGGTGTAGTGGTTTAGCAAGTCGCGTCCAGATATGAAGACGAGTGGTTCAATTCTTTCTCGGTCCACAGCCATTTTCAGAAAGTGGCTTCGTCTGCAAGATTCTCCGATTGAGAGAGTTGATTAAGACTTCTTTTGTTTCCTGAATTCATTTTATTGATTTCCTGTCGGTTTTCTCTTCTTTTCACGTTCGCTACGACTTATTCAAGTAATAGTTACGGTAATGGCCGGCACTGTTCTATTTGTTTTCAAAACCGAATTATTCAGTTTTTTAACAACTAACAGATAGTACAAACGGAAGAGGGGCTTCTAATCCGATTCCTCTTGCGCGATATTTGCAGATCATGAAGGGTCAGGATTCGTTTGAATGGATGAGTTCGCAGGGAACACCAAATCGTCAAAGTCAAAAGTCAAAAATCCTTTGTCTTTTGTTTTTAGTGAGAGGCAGAGGCACTCGGAAAACAGTTCGAGTGGTAGAAAATGCGCCACTGTCGGTGGCTCCCTTTTCTGAGGGTTTCTTACAAGCGAGCTGACGGTGGATTTGTCTTCTGAGCATGTGCTAGTACAATTTACCATCGAAAAATTGATTGCTCCACCAGCAAAGTCAAAGGTTCGAAGCTTCGACCTACTGCACGACAAAAATACCAACTCTTTGCGCCTTTAAACTGTAAATTTTCATAATATAGGGTGATTTGAAGCAAATGTACAAAGCGATTAGTCTTACCTATGAGCGGTGTATTTAAACATAGCTGAAAAAATTAATGGAGATATTTTGTTTGCCGACAGTATGCCGCAAAAAAGTGCGCAACTCTGTTGCTCGATCCTGCTGTTAGAATAGCCAGTTACTCTACTCTTCACTCACTCGTTTCATTGATAACTTCGTGCTGATATATGCAAAAGACAAACTCGCCATCAACTTGCTTCTAAGCAGCTCTCAAAAGAAGAAACCGTCGAGAATTCTGGCAGCGATTGCTCACCACGGGTGTTTGCTATCATCTGAGCTAAATGTGTTTGCCTATCAGAGCCAGAAAGTGAATACAAAGGTCGTTTGACCTTTTTGATTTTTGGTTTCGACTTTTTTCGCAGTTTCGAACAGTTCCATAAAGCGTTTGAACCGACAACAACGCAATGATTTGTCATCAAGGCAATAAAGAGAATGCAGCAGTGCTTAGCAAAAACTACTCGGTATTTGCACAAATGCTTCTTTAGCAATCTTCTTTTTATTTTTGCAAAATTTGTGTTAATGACTGAGAAGGAGACAGACTTTTTTTCCAGGAAATATGTGCTAAAATTATGTTTTGCTCATGGAAAATCATCATTATTTTAACATTTTTATTTATTGCACTTTGTGTTTGTCAAATTTGAGTTTTTTTGCACTTTGTATATATGTTCGTATGCATGCACGTATGCATTTATGTATAACTTATTATTGTATGTATGTATGTATGTATGTATGTATGTATGTATGTATGTATGTATGTATGTATGTACGGTATGTATGTATGTATGTATGTATGTATGTATGTATGTATGTATGTATGTATGTATGTATGTATGCATGTATGTATGTATGTATGTGTGTATGTATGTATGTATGTATATATGTATGTATGTATGTATGCATGTATGC